AAATAACAGAAGAGAAACTAGATGAATGGGACCTTCTAAAAATTAAATTTTTATGTGCTTCCAAAGACTTCTCCAAAAGAGTCAAAAGAGAGCCTACAGATTGGGAAAAAATATTCAGCAATGACATATCTGACAAGGGACTTATCTCTAGAATTTATAGGAAACTCCAACACCTCAACAATAAAAAGATTAACAATCCAGTTAAAAAATGTGCAGAAGACATGAACAGACACTTCACCGAAGAAGATATTCAGGTGGCCGACAAACATAGGAAGAAATGCTCATAATCATTAGCCATTAGAGAGATGCAAATAAAAACAACAATGAGATACCATCTTTTCCCAGCACTAGTAGCAAAGTTCAGCAAGACAGAAAATAACATGCTGGTGAGGATGGGGAGAGATTGGGACGCTGCTGGTGGGACTGTCAAATGGCACAACCACTGTGGAAAGCACTATGGCGATTCCTTAAAAAGTTGGAATTAGAAATACCATTTGACCCAGACATTCCATTACTAGGTATATATCCTAAAGAAGTGAGAGCCAGGACAGGAACAGACAAATGCACACGATGTTCATCACCAGCACTGTTTATAGTAGCCAAAAATGGAAACAACCTAGGTGTCCACCAGCTGAAGAATGGATAACCAAACTATGGTACATACACACAATGGAATACTATGCAACCTTAAAGAATAACGTAGAATCTGCAAAACACTGCGTAACATGTATTAACTTGGAGGACATTATGCTGAGTGAAATAAGTCAATCACAGAAGGAAAAATATAGTATTAGTCTGTTATTGTAAAAACTCAAGGTTTATATATTGAAGGAAATCTTCTTTGTTGGTTACCAGGGGTGAGAGGGAAGGGGATGGAACACTGTAAGATAGATAGACACAAGTATCAATTTGGGTGAAGAGAAGGGCAAAGTACCAAATGTGAGTGATTAGCATGGTGGCATTGAGGAAAAGGAAGACAGAGAGAGGTACATGGGAAGTACAGACAACAAAGATGAACCCTTTTGCACATGCAGTACTGTGTTGTAAGTGAAGGCTAACATGGATAGATAGGTAAACAGGGTGAACTATTAGGTATGTCTATGCAGGGAGTAGTGTGCCCAAGACTATGTGTAGGGTTGGCAGGCAATGTTTCTACAAGTGTATTGGTATGTTCTATAAGAATTCCCAGGTATGTAGTAGAGATGACAAGGGACAAGGTTGTAGTCACTTCTTGGCCATAGCCAACTACCCACTGTTGTTATGTGCCGTCAAGTTGGTCCCGACTCATAGCGACCCCTCCTTGGTTTCTGAGGCGGTATCACTGTGGAAGTAAATTGCCCAACCTTCCTTCCAAGGGAGCGAGTAGTTGGACCTGTGAGTTCAGGACCATAGTCGCAGGGGACATCAAGCTCAATTGGCATAACATACTACACAAAACATTGTTTCACATACTACTTTGGCGAATAGCAACTGGAATCTTAAAAGCTTGCAAGCAGCCATCTAGATGCAACGATGGGTCTCCTCATCCAAAGCAAAGAAGAATGAAGAAAACCAAAGATTCACGGAAACAATTAGTCCAAGCGACTGGTACCCCATGTGATTCCCAGCCTATATGACTGTGAGACCAGAAGAACTAGATGGTGACCGGCTACCACTGTCAACCACTTGGAGAGGGATCTATGTAGGAGATCCTGGATAGAGAGTAGGAGAACGATGTGGAACAAAACTCAAAATCATTTGCAAAAAAAAAAGGGACCAGGTTTGCTGATCTGATAGAACCTGATGGAACGAACCCCTGAGATCATAGCCCCTAGCCCTTCAGGTCTGGAATTGAACCCACTCTTGTGGCTTCCAGCCAAACAAAAGATAGGCATATGAAGTGAACATTTACACTAGGTAGATACACTCCTTGGAGAGAATAATCATGGGAGAATAGAAGGGCAGTGTATGCACAGGGAGACAGCTCGGGGCAGGAGTACATGGAGCAATGGACACAGGGAAGAGGTAACTATGGGAAGGAAGTGGGAGGGGAGCTGTTGCATTGTGGTAAATTGTAGTCAATGTCATGAGACAAAGTTTGTGAACTGTATGGAAAGTGAATTTGCTCTGTAAACTTTCACCCAAATGACACACACACACACACACAAAATATATCGTGAATACGTGCAAATAAATACTGTTCTTCAAAGTAGCACTTTGTGAAATACACCCTTATTCCAACTATGTTGTCATTTTTAAAAACATTTTCAAAAATCATTTTGCAGTTTTGAATCTTTAGGGACACAATCAAAAGTCATTGGAAGCTGTGGAGTGATCAAACTGGAAATATCATTGAGTGGAAAAATAAAATACGGCAATAAGTACTGAGACTAATTTTTGTCCCCCCTCAAATAATGCTGCCTATGGAATCCAACTTACAGCAACCCCTCCTGGCATTTCCCAGGCAGTATCGCTACGGAAGTAGATTGCCCAGCCTTCCTTCCAAGGAGTGGCTGGTGGGTTTGAACCATCAGCCTTCTGGTTAGCAGTCAGATGTCTTAGGCACTACTCCCTTTTGGTTTTGGTTTTATTCCCAAGGAAGTGGTGGCAGGAATAATTGCACTATTGCCTGAACATGGTCAGTTTTCAAAACTCCATCTCCTTAGTTACCTCCTAAATTGTCAGTAGAAGATGAGACTGATTTTTTGTGTGGCTCATAGATTTCTCTGAAACAAATCTCAAAGCATAAAAACTCTGTTACCTAATTATTGAAATCATTGTAGTCTACTATAATGGCATTTAAGAAAAAGACTAATTTGGTTGTATATGGTAAGTTTGTTTAAAAATAGTCTGTTCAGCCAGACACTGTGGGAGAGATATCCAACAGATCTTCCAACTCAGGACCATAGTACTGGGGGACACTAGACTCAGTTGGCACAAGAATATATATATAAGTCTTGTTCCTCTATTTACCTCAAGTAGACACACGCCCTGGAGAGAACAATCATGGGAGAAGGAAGGGCTGCTTATGCACAGGGAGATAGCTCAGGGTGCAGAAGAGTATGAAGGGATGGACACTGGGAGGAGGTAACTATGGGGAGGAAGTGGGAGGGGAGCTGCTGCATTGTAAATTTTGGTCAATGACATGAGACAAAGTATATGTGAACTGCTGTATGAAAAGTGAATTTACTCTGTAAATTTTCACCCAAATCCTAATAAAAAAAAAAAGTCTTGTTCCTTATCCTACATTGGTGCTAGGGTCCTAAAAGCTTTCAAGTGGCCATCTAAGATGCAGCTAATGGTCTCCTATGGTCAGAAGCAAAGAAGAGTGCAAAAAAAAGACAAGGGCATCTGGAAGCAATCACCCCTAAGACATGGTGGTCCTCAAGACCAGAACTAGATGGTGCCCAGCTACCAATGCCAACCACTCAGGAAAGGATCAAATCTGGAGATCCTGGATAGAATGGGAGGGAAAAACGTGGAACAAAGTCCAAAAACTCAATAATGACCAGAATTACTGGTTGGATGGAGTCTTACCAGACTCCCAATACTATGGTCTTAGAATACATTCTGGGCCTGGTATAAAGCTCACTTCCAGGGACTAGCTCTCAGCCCAATAGTAAACAAGATGTACATGCAGACCACTCAACCCAGGGTGATGCACCCACATACTCAATGGAAATGCATCCCTTGGAGCAGTCGACCACAGGGCACCAGAGGGGAAACGTTCACAGGGAGGAGATACAGGACACACAGGAGTGCATAACTGAGGGTCATGGGGTGTGTGGTGGGAGTGTTACTGGGCAGGGAGGGGAGGAGACTGGGTTAGGGTTGGGGATGGTAAATGAGGAATGAAACTAAATGTACATAGAATGTTGAATGTAAAACTTTTTAAAGAAAAAAAGTCTGTTTACAACCACACCTAATAGAATATTAAAGACAATTTAATTATATAAATAAGGAAAAAAATTAGCAAAATTGATTTTTTTTATACTTGCTGTTTTGATAAAGACTGACTTTTATTTTATTCATTCATTCAACAACTGTTGGATGTTGACCATGTGTCAGGAGTTATACAAAGTGCAGTGAATACTCCAAGAATAGATACTCTGAGAAATTCATACCATGAATATATAATCTTACAATATTGGGAAATCCAATGGTTAAATGAAAATACACATTTACAAGATAATAAAAATGATTAATGAGATAACATGTAGTTCTAGTGTTTTTCAAAAAATGATTCTGGAAGTTTTGTAAAATATTTGTTTTATAGCGATATAATGAATTACTGAAAAAATAAATAGTGAGATGTTTCTCAAATCCAGTAATTTGTAATTTGAACTATTGTATCCATCAGTGTGATGAAGAGTCCTAATTAATTATCAAATTCTATTCTAAATTAACTTCTTAAAAATTGATGAATTTTGAATTTCAGAAGTCTATTTCTTAAATCTATAATTTTCTCCAAAATAATCAAAATGTAAAACAACATAATTATTAGACTACAGAAAATAAAAAAATTAATTGCAACTAATTATATTTCTTAAACTTTTCCATTAGAAATACACTTCAAGGGATGAATAGGATTTTGTCATTTAGTTAGCATAGCCTAGGGTTTTCACTGAGGTGACCAGTCTTTTTGTAAATATTGTCATGTTTATAGTAGGTAGTGCTGATGAATAGGCAACCAATTGTTTGTGGGTTCATCTAGAAGGGTCTGTGATATAAATTTAAAATATTTTATTATATGGTATTAGATTTAACATAGAATACAACCGAACATTGAATATTCATCAATGAGAAAATGAAAGAGATGGAATCTACATTTTTATAATTAGCATTTGGAAATGTTGCTAATAATTTTTAATGACATTTTCAAATAATTAAATCCTTCCTTAATTTGTGGGCTATAAAGTCCAAAAACTTAAACTTTTTTTGCTTACATAAGATTTTAGTATTTGTATCCAGTACCTCCTGGAGAAGATACTGAGTGAGAACAGGAAAACATGGGGCAAGGGTTATATCATTGACACTTTGCATTATTCCCATTGTTTCTAATGTTGCATTAAGATGGTTACATATCATGTTTTAGGGTTGTGCATAAGATTTCTAGTTTAAACTTCTGTCCTAACTAAAGAAAAGTTATTTACTTGATCCATTTTTAGAGACATGGATGAAATCATCATCATCTTCATCACAGCTATCACAGCTTAATTGTTGCAGGACTGTTTCTGAATGGTTTTCAGCTTGATTTACATCTTTCTGCTTAAGGAAGCTTCGAAGTGCAACAAGACGATGATGTATTGCTGCATACAGATATCCTGTGTCTTTGGCACTGGCCTGCATGATGAAAATTAAGTTATTAATAATATAAATTACTTAATAATGTTAGCCACATTTTACAAATATTTAATCGTTCTCTATTAATAACAAAAGCATTATATAGTGTAAATCTAGAATACAAAGAAGTGCTAACAACCCTACAAACTAAAGTGAATAATTTTGTAAGGAAGTTCCCAATTTTGCATCTTAAATTGAGAATATAATATTTTGCAATTTAAAATTTTATTTGAATTTGTTTATGTTGATGGCAATGTAATCATTCATAGAGTATAAAAAAGCTCTGTCTTGATCAATGGGCATATACATAGCGCCTATCCTTCCATTCTCGGAAGGAAGGTTGGGCAATCTACTTCTGTAGTGATACTGCCTCAGAAACTCAAGGAGGGGTTGCTATGAGTCGGGTCCGACTCTATGGCACTTAACAACAACAATCTTTCTCTTTAATGCCCGCCATAAATTTTGAAGAAAACCCAAAGCAGAGAGACAAAAATCCAGTAGGGAAACAAAACCTAAGGAAGAAAGAATATGCCAAAGGATTTTAAGAAAGTAAGCTCTTCTATTCTTTATTGCAGAGAAAAGTCATGATTGTATCTTGGCATAATTTATGTTGTCTGCGTAAGGGATTCTCTTCATAGTTTTACAGCCAGCCTTCAACAGGCCATAAGATTAAAATTGTGAATTGATCTTTGACCAGTAAATGCAACAGACTATCCTCACTCCACTGATTTACACTGTAGAAAATTGTAGGTCTAAGGGGAAGAAAAGCTTCCACTTCCTTTACATCATTTTGCTTGGACATCCCCTTCAAGGCATATAGCTCTATGAGGAAGCATAACTCATGAGAGTGGTCTGTGATACTGCACCATAAACATCAAAAGTCCTTGCTTCCAATACTTTTCTGTGCTAATTTTAGATAGGAAATGATTGTTGCTATCAATATAAGCTAGCGTAGTGCCTAAAGCGCTTGACTGCTGACCAGAAGGCTGGTGGTTCAAACCTACCAGCCCATCCTTGGAAGGAAGATGGGGCAATCTACTTCCGTACTGATACTGCCTGGAAAACTCAAGGAGGGGTTGCTATGAGTCGGGTCTGACTCGACCTCACATAACAACAACAACATTATTATATAGCCAAAGCACCTCACACAGGTATTCAGTATGTAACCATTTTCCTCCTCTTTTTAGAAATGAGAAAATAATAGCTCAGAAAAATAAAATGCCCTGTCCAAGTTTACCCAGATAGCAAATTGTCAGGGACTTGAATCCCAGGTTTCTTGACATCAAGGTCAAGCCTCTTTAAGGTAATACAGCAGGAGTTTACTTTTCTCTTTCTTTTTTTTTTTTTTTTTTTTGGTCTTTTCACAATTTCAAAGCCCATCTGGCAAAGTTTATCTCTTTGCAGCCTTTCTAGAGGTTTGCCGAGCATTTGAAAGCTGAGAACTGAGCGGTGGGGTCAATTACATGCCAACTTTTTGGGAGTAGAGTCTTCCATTATAATTTTGATTTGAATATTAAGTTGGCTTATACTATGATTGAGAAAATAAAACACCTACCTAGAAATTAAATAAAATATTTTCTCATATTGTGTTAGATACTGCAGAGTAGGTGTTGAATAAATATTTGTTGACAAGTAATTGAATGTTTTACATTATGTGAAAAGGCATAATTTTTCCTTAAAAGTTGTTTATATTAAGAACAGATACTGAAAGAGTATTTGTAATTGAAATATAAATACTATTTTGCTACTTTCACTCACATTAAATTTTAAATATACTTTTCAGTAGTCAATATATTTCCTTTTGCCATATTCATTCAGGCAGTTTCATTCAAGAAACTCAGAAGAAGAAATTAAAAATAAAATATATTTGTTTGAATAATGAATTGGCAATGCTTAAAAAAAGTCATAATACCCAATAAGTGCCGTAACAAAGTGCTGGGAAAATGAGTTGGTTCAGTCTTTTTGGAGAGAAATTTGGCAAGGCAAGTTCAAAGCTTTTCACATGAAAACTAACATGGATGTACACAGATAATTTCTTACAGTTTGCTTGTAATAGTGGAACTCAGTAAATTGCTTATGTATTTAACAAAATGTGTTTAATGTAATAAATTATTATACATAATAGAATATAATTTCTTTTCAGCTCCTCAAGTAATTTTTGAAGAATAAAATACTATTTAATGGCAAGAAAAATCATTAACATTGACGAAAAGGAAGTTACATATGTGTATTTCATAATCATATATTAGCTATTTAATCTCCACAGTCTTTTAAGTTATAGTTGTTATTGTCTTTATTTTATAGATGACTAAAATGAGGTTAAGAAAGGTTAAGTAACTTGCCTGAATGTCATACAGTATATACAGTATGGTACACATGAATATATATACACACATATGCACATAAACATATGCACATGCACATATATGTTGTTAACTGCTGTTGAGTTGGCTCACAACTGATGGCGACCCCATGCTCAGTGGGAAGAAACACTGCCCAGCCCTGTGCCATCCCCATGACTGGTTTTGAGTCAGACATGATTATGATCCACAGGGTTTTCATTGGCTGATTTTCAGAACTAGATCACCAGCCCTTTCTTCTTCATTGGTTGTAGGCTAGAAGCTCCGCTGAAACCTGTTCAGCCTCATAACAACACACAAGCTTCCCCAGACAAAGATGACTATTGGCTGCACATTAGGTGCATCAGCCAGGTGTTGAACTGGTCTCTTACATAGAAGTTGAAATATATATAAAATATAGTTGTTGTTGTCGTTATGTGCAGTTGAGTCGGACCTCCTCCTTGGGTTTCTGAAGCAGTATCACTACAGATGTAGATTGCCCCATCTTCCTCTCGAGGAGTGGCTGGTGGGTTTGAACCGCCAGCCTTCTGGTTAGCAGTCAAGTGCCTTAGCCACTATGCTACCAGAGCTATGAAATATAGTATAAGGCCAAAATGTTAATAATGGTCATCTCTAGGGGTAGAACTGTGAATTACTTTTTATTGCGTTTGGTTTCATTATCTGTAGTTTATGAATATTTTGCCACTATATATATATATACACACACAAAATATATATCTATATATGTATAGAGATATATACACACACACATATATATATATAGATATAGATATACACACACACACATATTTTAAATCAGCATGGGTCAGGTATTGAGCAACTAGGCTTAATCATGACTAACAGTCTCAGTCAGTCTCAGTCTCTGGCAGGCTGCTTTACCCACTCAGAACCAGTGGGGACCTAGACTGGCAGAATATCAGATTATCACCCGAAATAGCAAGCAGGGTTTAAACATCATCTTACACGTAACATCTTAATACCCAACAACCCTTAAACCTAACAGTGTACTTCCTGGTAGTTAATACAACATTTGGTTTTTCATCAGTAGCCATTTCTCAACTTTACCATTACTCTATGGCAACCAATTTACTTGTATTGTCATTTTCTGCCTGAGTCATTTGGGTACACAGTCTTCTCCAGTCTTCTGGAGCCTTTTCTTTCCTTTTTCTATTTGGACTTTCTGTGTCTGAATCTTGCATTTCAGGTCAAGCATTCCTGCCGCAGAGAACAGCTAAAGCTGTGCTCCCATCCTGTTACCTTGGAGACTGACTCATGCCCAGAATTGGAATTTGCTGTTATCCCTTGGATGGTGGTTTTGACTTGCTAGCCCTGTGTTTTTCCATTTCTCACTGGTTCTTTTCCAGTGACTCAAAGCCGCTTCTGTGTCAGCGTGCAGTATAAGCTTCAGGCTGTGGATTCCACTAACCCCCTCTTAGGAGCCATTTTTGACAGTACTCACCAGTAACTTAGCAAAAGTGTTGACATAATTTGATTAGTAAAGAAAAGGGTAGAGTTTTGACAACATATATCATACACATGTCTTGGAATAGGTACCAATTGCTTATTATAGATTTTGAGGTTAATTTCTAAATTTCATATAAAATTTAGGTGTGTATTAGACTGTAAACAACCATAATGAATGGCTGGTATGTTGTCAATGATACAGGTTGTGTAAATAAAATGAAAAAAAGAAATTGCAGAGACTTGTATTAGAAGCCCTGCTGGTACAGTGGTAAAAAGCACTTGGCTGCTAACTGAAAGGTCGACAGTTCAAACCCACCAGCTGCTCCATGGTAGAACGATGTGGCAGTCTGCTTCCATAAAGATTTCAGCCTTGGAGAGCATATAAGGCAGTTCTACTCTGTCCTATGAGTCGGAATCAACTAGCAGTGACATTATAAATATAGTAGGATAATCCTCTATCACAGAAATTTTTCACTTACCTGAACTAAAAATATTTTGATGCTGTAGTCTTCTAAATCAGTAGCCATTATTTGTAAATTTTTATGGTTTGCTCTTTGTATCTCCATTTGAGCCCAGAGTTTGCTATTCAGAATCAGCCTCAGGCTGCCTTGATTGCGCATAACTAAAACAGGAAGGCGAATCCATTAAGCTTAGAACAGCTGATTACCTTAGTCTTCCAGAGGAATTTGCCTTTTTTGAAAGCAAAGTAAATCTTGTAGTTGTTTATCAGACTGTATTTCCACTATTAAATTGTAATTTGATTAGATTATCACTTGGCTTTTAAACTATACTTGGGTTCTGGTTAGCTGCTAACCAGAAGGTCAGCGGTTCAAACCCATCAGCTGGAAAGAAGATGGGGTGATCTACTTCCGTAAAGATTTACAGACTTGGAAACTCAGTGGGTGTTGCTGTGAGTCAGAATTGACTCGATGGCAGTGAGTTTTTTTTTTTCTTTTTTCTTTTTTTAACTTGGGCTTTATTATATTGAAAGATGGAGGACTTTTTCTTTAGTTTAAATGCCAAAATTATAATTTCTACTATAATATTTAAAAAATGGTAAAAATTTTAGAACTATTAAAATTTTAGTTTGAAGACTGTTTGTCCAAGAATAATTGTTGACAATGGAAAAAACTGAAACAAAAATCTTAAGTGTCCAAGATACGGAATTATTTAAATAAATACCATGATGCAACCAATCAAGAGAGTATTATGCACCCATTAAAAATATTAAAGATATTTATTAATGTGGAAACAGCATCATGATAACACTATGTAAGGAAAGCAGTTATAAAGCCATATGACCACCATGCACCACAAATTTTACAATATTTATATATATCTATGTATACAGAGAACAATATCCAGAAGGGATACGTTGTCGTCATTGGCTGTCTCAGGAAGGTAAGCCATATGAGTGAGTTTATTTTGTTTCTTTTTGATGATCCATATTTTCTGCTTCCTACAATGAACATGTAGGAATTACCTATAATTACATGTAATAAAAAGAAAAAATATATTTTTGTGTTTTATTTCATTTGGCAGCAGGAGAAAGTGGAATTAAATGAGTGTAGAGAACAAGTAGTACCTGCCTTGGGAATAATACTTGGTTGAGTTATTTAGAATCTTGCTTGCCAGTTGCAGAACTAAAGACACTACTCCTATTCTCCTAGTCTGAAATCTATGCCTTCCTATTTCTTAAGGTTGATACCTGAAAGTCAATTTTCTCCTCCAAAGCTTTGACCTTCCAATATTGCCCCGTGAATACATACACCCCACTCAGATCTCTGGTCGGTGCTCATTTTCAATTTGGGCTTCTGAACAATGTCCCAGTCTGTCTTTTTTGTGTGGCAAACCAAAATTGTGATCCACAGGGTTTGCATTGGCTGATTTCACTTGAAAACTAACATGGGTGTACACAGATAATTTCTTACAGTTTGCTTATAATAGTGAAACTCAGTAAATTGCTTATGTATTTAACAAAATGGGTTTAATGTAATAAATTATTGTGCATAATAGAATATATTTCTTTTTAGCTCCTCAAGTAATTTTTGAAGAATAAAATACTATTTAATGGCAAGAAAAACCATTGTGTCTTTCAGTTTGACTGACTTGATTCTGACCATCTCTCTGCCTGCAGAATTCTGTAACTGCACAGTTTTCCTTAGAAATGGACCCTTTTTCCTAATATCCACATAATGTTTGAAATGCCAAAGATACATTTGTTGTTATTGTTGTTATGTGCCATCAAGTCGGACCCAACTCATAGTGACCCCTCCTTGGGTTTCCGAGGCAGTATCACTACGGAAGTAGACCCCATCTTCCTTCTGAGGAGTGGCCGGTGGGTTTTGAACCGCCAGCCTTCTGGTTAGCAGTCAAGTGCCTTACATTAGGGTGCATGTATTCTCTTTCACCAAAGCTATTTTCACTTTACAAAATAAGTTCTTTTAATCAAATACCTTTAATAATAAGAAAGTGTGTGTGCTGGGCTCTATCATAGGTGCTTTACATTTTCACATTCATTAACTGAGTCATACACTGCTAATGTCCTATCAGTTTGAGATTGCCACCAATTTGAGATTGATACAAGTATGGCAAAGAGATTAAATAACTTGCCCACGTAATCAGTTATTAAATGGTACAGCCAGAATAGAACCCAAGAAGTCTGACGTCAGAGTTCACTTTAAACAAGAAGTTTTTCTAGCACACTAGAAGCAACATTGTTTTCAACAGTCTGATTTATTGATGTATTTTAAAACACATCTTCAGAAAGTGATGTGTATTTATATTGGAAATTTGACCCTGAGTAGTTGGGGCTTGCTTGACAAAATGAGCTGAATTCCTTACTTAGTCTCGACTGTAATGTTCCACAGTCGCTGCGTGCTGTGTCGTTCAGTCTCAGTGTTCCTCTGCCCTTTTCAATCCAGGATTGTGTTGTGTTGTTGAATATAAAAAGCTTGCAATTGATCTAGATGACAATTTTTTTAAATGTCAAATATATAGAAATTTTTTCCAAGTGAATCATTTCTTAGGGTTATAACAATTTTATATTTGCTCTTTTATCAGAATAACCATTATTAATTATCTAAAAGCCAACTTTTAAAATTTATTTAACTTTCAAAAACATTCAGTTTTTGAATGGTTCAAACATCAAAAAATAAAAAGATAAAAAGTGAGAAGTCGAGTTCCGGCAAGATGGCTGACTAGGCAGAAGGATTGCACAGACCCTCTTCAACAAAGAAAAGGGAAACCAATTAACACAGACACAGAAGATAATCATGGACCCCTGAGCCTTGA